ACTCCTTCTGGCTCCTTCTGGCTCCTTCGTGGCTCCTCCTGGCTCCTCCTGGCTCCTTCGGGCTCCTGGCTCCTCCTGGCTCCTTCTGGCTCCTTCTGGCCCCTGGCTCCTTCTGGCTCCTTCGGGTTCCTTCGGGCTCCTTCGTGGCTCCTTCTGGCTCCTTCCGGCTCATTCGTGGCTCCTTCCAGCTCCTTCCGGCTCCTTCGTGGCTCAGCTGGACCGGCGGAGCCCATTCCGGGAGCCCGAGAGACCTCTGCCCCCCCCTCCCCGCCAGCAGCCCCCCTGCATTTCTGCGCCGAAGGAGCAGCGGAGACCCCTTTAAACGCCCCCCCCCAGCCCCCCCGCATTGAATTACCTCAAAGTACAGTATAATATATTGTTATCGGTAAATGGATGAGATAGACGACCAATTTGAAATACTCGATTGAAAGTCGGCCCTTATCAAGCGGAGGATAACGGAACGAGGGATCGACGCGACGTCAGATACGGAGGAGAAGACGGTTCGATGCCCGAGGAAATACGGACCCGACCAACGGACCCACCGTGGAACCGAAAGAAAGTTGGAGATGTTTGGGTTGTCGCTATAAAAATAAAAATAAAAAATAATAATAATACAAACTTTGATATACAAAAATAAATAAATAAATAAAAGAACACCACCACCCCAAAATTGCCGGAGGCCAGCGGTGGGCGGGGGAGGGGAGCCGGCGGCCCTGGGCCCTTCCTCAGCCTCTGGGGGGGGGGTTGAGGGGGGGCTGGCAGGGATTTTGGGGGGGACCCCCCAAGCAGAGACCCCCCCTCCCCCTCCTCAGTCGATCCCCTGCTGTTCTTCACCAGAAGCGACACCTCCGGCCCTGACGCCATTGTGGGGGCGGGGGAGGGGGGAGAAAGGGGAGGGGGATCCCACCTGGACCGTTCAGGGGTAGCGTGTCGCGCGTTGGGGCACCGGAGGGATGGGTCCGATCTTGGGCCGCTCTCTCCCCCCTCTCTCCCCCTCCCCGACACCAGCCCGTCCTCCTCCTCCCCTGTGCGCCCCCAAATCCAGGCCTCGAAAGGCCCCGAGGTGCCCCTCCCTCGCCCTTTCCTCCCTGGCCTTGTCACCTGGACCCTCTTACGACCCTCCCCAACCCACCCACCCCGCTGCCAGCCCCTCGCCGGGTCCGGTCCCGTCGGGGGGACATTCCTGCCCTCTTTTGCGGCCGTCGCTCCCTCCCTCTTGGACCCAACCCGGCCTTTTCCCCTCCCTCGGCTCCGTCTCTCTGCTCCTGGGCCAAGCCAGGCCCCACCAAAGCCCCCTCCCCTCCCCTTGGGGCAGAGAGAGACCCCTCCACCCCCTGGCTTGGTGGATCTGGCATCCGTCATCCTGCCGGCGGTTGTGCCAGAGCCGCGGGGACTGTTTCTTCTATGCCAGCCCCCCCAAAACATTCTGGGCCGCTAAACCTTCAAAGCATTGCCCACCCCCCCAAAAAAGATGACCAGACCAGCCCAGGGAGGGGGGGGTATCAGAGGGCTACTCCTGAGGTGCGCTGGGCACCTTCTCCGATGCCCCAAATGGGCCATTAGATCTAGTCCCCTCCTCCCACAGGACCCTGGAAGGTGGGGAGGGGGTGGTGGTGGTAGCAGCCTGGGGAGATTGACCCTTGCCCAGCAAAGCCCCTCCCCCCCTCTGTCCAGCGCCGGCTCCAACCCCCCTTTTGCCCCAAACCCAGAAGTCCCGGACCGGCCCCCCTTTGGATTCCCCGCTCAACCCCTTCCCTCCCCTCCCTTTCCGAGCGCCGGGAGGGAAGGAGGGAGGGGGATCCCCTGCCCTCTGCCCCCCACAGCCCCGCCCAGCTCAGCCCTCCCTCGCCCTCGCCCGTCTTCTTATCAACCTCCTTATCTGTCCCCGGAAGGGAGGGCGGAGGGCAGGGTGCAAAGGCCCCGCTGGTGCCCGCCAGGAGGAGGAAGAGGCCCAAAAAGGTCCAGAATGGGGTCTCCTACGCACCCCTCCCAGGTCTTCCTCCTCCTGGGGGTCTCCCTCCTCCTCCTCCTCCTCTACCTCTCCAGCTGGAGCCTCCACGGGTCGGGCATCGGGCGGGGAGGGGACCTGACCGGGGTCCAAAGTAACCAGCCTGCAGTTCACCTTCCCTGCTTGGCACCCTGTGTCCACCGGCCCAAGGAGGAAGAGGAAGACCAGGTGAGCGCCGGATGATGGTGAGGGGGGGGAGGAAGGAGGGGGGGGGCAGAGGGAGTCTGGACCTCCCTCCTCCTTGGGCTGGGGAGGGGAGCTCAGCAGGGTCCAAAATGACCAGCCTGCAGCTCACCTTCCCCGCTTGGCACCCTGTGTCCACCGGCCCAAGGAGGAAGAGGAAGACCAGGTGAGCGCCAGAGGATTGTGGTGAGGGGGAGGAAGGAGAGGGGGCAGAGGGAGTCTGGACCTCCCTCCTCCTTAGGCTGGGGAGGGGAGACCCTAAAGACCCTCTGGAGGGACAACCAGGTGCGATAATTGGAGTGGGGGGTGAGGGCAGGGAAGCCCCTCCCTCATTGAAATCGCAGCACAGTTGGGAGTCAAGGCCGAAGGGCCCTCGATACGGTCCAACGGGGCCGGACCGTATTTTTGGGGGTGGGTGGGTGGGCTGTATTTTGAGGTGGGGGAGGGGTGTGTTTTTTTTTAAATCCTTCCCTTCCCCCCACTTCCAGCTCTTCCTCGCCCTCTTGCAGCCCAGTCCTGCCCCCGCCGGGACCCCGACATCCCCGCTTCCTCGCTGGGGCGAAGACTTCGACATCCGGCAGCTGCAGAGGTCCTTTTCGGCCAGCCTCTCCCCGCAAGGAGAAATCCTGCTGGGACAATACCTCCACGGCTGGAGGCAGCTGCTCAAGTGAGGAGGGTGAACGGGGAGGGGATTCCGGGGAGACCCGGGCCCCAAAAGACAGACCCTCACCCCAAGGCCCACCCCGGGGAGGAGACTGGGGGCCTTTCCCCCCTCCAAGGGCCCCTGCGGGAGCCACGCTGGGCGTGAGCCAAAACCTCTTTGAATGGGTTCATCGGGCATCCTTATCACCTCACATTGATGACGAGGTCCTTCTTAACGTCCAATGCTTTGCAGATCTGAATTGTGGTGGAGGGGGCTGGGGGTGGGGGGGAAGAAAGGGAGGCCAGGCTGGTTTGGCCGAAGCCACACGGGCGACGGCCCACCGACGCTATGCAGACTTTGAGACCCCCACAAAGCCAGCTCTGGGGATCTCCGGCCCAGGTTGGCTGCCTCTCGGCCGGCTCATCCCAAAATCCAGGGGTGAAGAACGGCGGCGGGGGGGAGACTCTGCCAGCCCCCCCAGACATTTCTTCCCCCCCCAAAAAAATCACAGGGTTCAATCACGGGGACGAGACTTTTATTCTTTCTCTCGTTCTGCTTAAAGCAGACAGAACAACGCCGCAAAGCATCCAGGCCAAAACCTCTTTGAATTGGTTCATCGGGCATCCTCACCAACTCACATTGATGACGAGGTTCTTCTTAATGTCCAAAGCTTTGCAGATCTGAACGGCGGCGTAGAAAGAGAATAAACTCTCATCCCCGTGATGATGATTGAAGCGACCGCCTGGTAAAGGGTTCAGGCTAGACGCGAGGGAGCCCTCCCCCCGACCCCACCAAGGGTCCATTCAGTGGCCAATTCCGGATTTTCAGGTGTGACGACGTGACGTGGACTACAATTCCCAGGATGCCTTAACTACACTTACCATGAGGCCTTCCCTTAAAGGGGACAGCTCCCGATTCCTAACTAACTATCCCAAATCCCATTCACTCTAAACTGTCTGGACAGCACGGGGGGGAGAGGGGGGGGGCTGGACCTGGCTCCCTCTCACGGTGGGCCTCAGCAATGCCCCGTCGGTTCGAGTCCCGTGCAGCCCCCTCTGCCGTTGCAGGACTGGGAAGGGGAGGCCCCCTGGGCATCCGCCAGGCTGGGGAGCACGGGGTGGTGGGGAGGAGAATATGTGGCTGCAGCCTTCGCAGGATGATGGGCCGCTGTCCTCCTCTTGCAGGTTGACGGAGGCGCTGGGCCCGGCCTTTGGCCTGATCTCCCGGGAGGCCCGGTCCAAGATCAGCATCATGCAGTGGTACCGGGAGGGACCTCAGGCACCCCACTACCACACCGTGCAGTCCATGGTGGACTTCGAGCTGTCCTCGGGCTTGGTGGGCTTCCGGTCCTTGCCGGCCCGACTGCCTCCCTCGGGCTGCCGGACGCTGCTGCGCCTCCACCGCACCCTGAAGTGGCTGGAGCTTTTCCTGCAGAGGCTAGGCACCAGCCGGGAAGACGAGAGCCCCTCCCGGATGTGTGCCGAGGCCTACCGGGTGGCCCTGGCCCCCTACCACAGCTGGTGGGTGCGGCAGGGGGCTGCCCTGGCCTTCCTGGCTCTGCCCTCCCGCCAGGAGCTGTACCACACCATCGTGAGGGCGGAGCAGCGGGCAGCCGGGCCCCTCGTCCTGACCACGGTGGAGAGCCTGCGCCGGGTGTACAACGTCACCCAAGAGGTCTACTCCGCCCATGGGATGCTGGACCTGCCCTGAGGACGCCCAGCCGGGGCTTCGGGCCGGTCACCCGAAGGACATCTGTACGCATCGCGCCTCCTGCACCCCAAGGGCGGGTTACAGCGCCCCCTCTGGGCTGTGTTGCACCTGGACAGCGCCTCTACACCCTCTACCCCCTGGGCCAAAGCACGCCATATTCAGGCTTCGGCTGGGTGGCGGGGAGGGGAGATCAGTCCCCGGCAAGACTTTGCCGTAATTGGAGGTCGAGAGAGCGGACTTCCACCAGCTAAAAGGGGGTTTATGTGTGTGTGTGTGTGTGTGTCAGACTTGATTTCATTGAGAAATGGTGTAGGGGGGGTTGGACTCAATGACCTATAAGGTCCCTTCCAACTTGGATTATCTGTTACCTGTTACCTGTATCTGAGGGCCGTATCAAGGTTGTGTTTGAACTCGGGAGCCAAGCTGGGCGTGGCCAGATCGACATCACTTGTGTGGGGGTGTATGTGAGGGGGCGGTCCCAGTGGTGGCCTGAGGAGGAATACTCGGCCAGCAAAAATGGGCTCCCGAGCTCCGTTTTTGGCTCCGACGGCCTCCTGCATCCCTCTGCCAGAAAAAATGGTCTCCCAAGCTCCGTTTTCAGCTCTGACGGCCTCCTGAATCCCTCCGCCAGCAAAAATGGTCTCCCGAGCTCCGTTTTCGGCTCCGACGGCCTCCTGCATTCCTCCGCCAGCAAAAATGGTCTCCCGAGCTCCGTTTTCGGCTCTGACGGCCTCCTGCATCCCTCTGCCAGCCAAAATGG